CTTATATACTGGCAATGGTGTTTATCTTATATAGGTTATTAAAATGTTAAAAACTAAAAACTAAAACTAGGTGTGGAAAAAACATTTTAGTCAATTTAATTCAGAAGTTATAGATATTACAAAACAAACATGTTGACTCAATAAACATGCACCAATGCCTCCTCGTGCTTGTTTGTATTGACAAATACCCCCCCCCATTACTTTACAAACTGAAAGTAACCTTTTTTAAACAATAAAAACTAAACAGAAACGAGCAAACTCACCGGCTGAAATTAAACTACTAATAAAACTAAAACTAAAAGTTAAAAACAAAATAAAAATAAAAACTAACACACTGTACTGTGTGGATGGGTAAAATATTCAGATCTTTATTACTACTAATACCACACTGTAAAAATACAAGTAAATGTCCTGTATTTAAAATGTTACTGAGGTAGAAGTGTAAGAAATATATATAATATATACATTATAAATAAAATATATTATATATATAAAATATATATAATATATATATATATATACACACATTATAATATAATATAATATAATAGTGTTCTTTCTTTTTCTTCCATTCCTTCCTTCCTTACCTTATATTTCCGTTAATTATAATAATAATTACAATTCAAATAATTAGTTCTTTCCTTCCCTTTCTTTCTTTCTTTCTTTCTTTCTTTCTTTCTTTCTTTCTTTCTTGTTAATCTTTGCTTTCCTTTATACTTCCTTCCTTCCCTTACAATTCATAATTCCTTCCTTTCTCTCATACTTTGTTCCTTCCTTTCTTCCCTTCCATTCTTTCTTTCCATAAAATAATAAAAGAAACATAACAAAAGGTGATATAATAAAATGGTCCAATGAGCCATTTGAAATAGAAAATTCACAGACAGACATCTGCAGTGGCACCTCCTGCAGAGATGATTGTAAAGGTGTAATTTTCGTGATGGCAGCTCCGGTCTGCGGCATGAATCTGAGCAGCGTTTTAAGTCTTCAACTCGCCTCAACACACTGCTGCCATAGTTATGGGCTGGGAGGAACTGAAGACTGAAAGCGCCACACAGTGCAGCCTCCTGTGCGTTTTTCTGTGGCCCTGGAAGTTCAGTTCATAGCTCAATCATTACACACGTGCACACACGCAGCAAAGACCTGCATCACAGTCATCAAAGAAAGTTAAATGTCTTCCGACCTCAAAAGTGACAAAGTGACAGGCAGTCCAACAGAGTGAGGTAGAGGCAGATAAAAAGAGTCAGATAAAAGAGTGTGTGACAGAAGAAGGAAAAGGTCACTGTCACACTGTGTCGTTTCCTGATAGTAACATCACATGTTAATCAAAAATCAAAGCTTACGTTACCTTCCAGAGATTAAATAGAACTTTCTTCCTACACTCATCCCCTCCGTCACCTTTCTCTTTCATCTTTGACCTTCCGCTGCCTGTATTTCATCTTTATGCCCTTCTTTTAGAATGTGTTTTTCATTTATTCACTTTTACTACCATTTTATAGCCTTTATTCCACATGCATGGCCCAGTCGGAGCATTTGTGCCTGTAGCCCTGGAGATTCTTCCTTTGGCCTCGGTTAAGAAAGTTAAGCTGGAAGTTAAGAAAAAATGGTTTATAGTTTTCAACTGACTGTGTAAACTGTAACGGACGGATAGCATGCTATACCTTCTTATTGTGTCTTTTTGTACTTTAACAGCAAAAGATAATTATTGTAAACCTTACTAAAAACATCAGGGAATACGATAGAGAGGAAAACTGTTAGCAGCTTCCCATCTACTATTTATTTTACTAATAATAATTACCAATTAGAAATTAATGTACATTTAATATGTTTAAACATGTGATTTAAAAGTACCAAATTGTGAATTCCACTATTGTCAAAAAATCATCTGCCAGCCAACTGCTTCTCTGCTAAGCTTAGTTAGGCTAGTTACCATTTTAGTGGGACTCGTTTTAGCAGATTTTCATTCTCTGTGAGTAAATTTACCTTCTGCCTTTTTTATGTGGGATAACAAACTAAATTACTAAAATGTTAGTTGATTGAAATTGATATATTTATCTCAAACAGTTCCATTAAGGCTAGGCTGTGGCTATCTCTGGCTAGCTTTAACAAGAAGATTTGGCTTAGCTTGCTTGCTTTAGCTAGCTGTGTAGTTGACCGTTTTATTTTGGTTTTTATTGTGTTTTTGTTTTTACTGCACATTAACATGCTGTTGTCTTTTGGAATTATACATTATGACATAAAACAATGACAACAAGTCAAATTTTGGTCTTACATTTGGACTACATTTGACTTAAATATGTAGTTACTACATTTTGGCTTTGTAGGGTAGAATAATCCCCCATTTTAAGCAGTTTGCCACTAAAGACACAGCGCAGGCAAGACTACGTCCATGTGGAAACGTGTGAATTGTGTATATGAAATTATTTATTTATTTATATATATATATATATATATATATATATATAATGTATACATATTAAACTTTATTGAACTTGGAGAAGGTTTCTGGACTTAACAACCTGTTTGTTTTTTAAAAGAGCACGAACAAGCTGATAACAGCCAGGGTAAATAAAAAATAGAAAAGGCGTGTTGTTCTTTTAGAGGGATGAAAGACAAGCTTGTCAAAATGTCCAAAGCAGTGTGGAGTCACGCATGAGCCGTCCTCTCTGTGACGTTCATATTTGTTTGCAGTTATTAGACTAATCTACTAATGACTATGGTAATGGTTTATTGACGGTGAAACGCTGCACGAAGCACCTTGAAGTTTGCTCAGCTGTCAATTAGGAAGGCCAGTGGCATCAACTAGATTGCTCCCTTTTTCTTTTCTTTTTTTTCCCTGTGCTGTGTCCTTGAATATTAGTGATTGTGTATTACATCCTCACAGTGGGTGGGGGTGGGGTGTTATGTGTCGATGCTGTGTTGGCTTTGACACCCTGATAATAATGTCACACCTCTCTGTTTAATCTGTGTGTTTGTGTGTATTTATAGTTGAACGTGGAAGTGTGTGTGTGTGTTCTGTCTTCTGAAGGTGTAAATGAGGACCCAGCAGATGGAGAGTGGAGGTCTGCTTCCACCTACATTACCCCTACCCCTAAGTGTGAATCTCCTATAACTTTCTGGCCTGGGTGTCTTTAAAGGAGACCAGATCATTAGACACAATCTGTTGTTAGACACAGGACACCTGACTGCAATTTAAAGCGGTTTAGTTTAGATATTAATGTATCCAAAAAGCTTTCAGAGCAAGTAAAAGCTGTGTGAAAATGCTAATATGCAAGTATTATTGGCAACATTTACTTAAAGTATCAAAAGTAAAATGACCCCTGTCAGTGTTTTACTATTATATATATGTGTTGTTTTTGTATTAATATTACTGCTGCATGTTGTATTTTACTGCTGTAGATATTTAAGATATTTAGTTGCTGACCTATGAGAACCATTTATCTATAAAAAAAAAAAATCAACTTCTAATTAACTCTGTGACAATGCATTTTAAAATTAATCCAAGAGAGGTTTTTAACTAGGTTATTCAGTTTAGGAAATATGAGAATTTTCTCAACCCATAAAGGAACACTTATTCCTTCATTTTATCTGAAACATTCAAAATCACCACATTTGGAGACACATGATTTTCACTGGACAGCAAGTGTCTGAAAAATTGGGGGGAATAATAAATTCCAATCACATTACATAGTTACGATATTTCAAGCCTTTTCAAGTAATTTTAAGTAAGTTTTACGTTTTTTGCATGTTTGGCTGCCACCGTAGTTTCTCTTTCGTGCTTAGAAGGGGAGGGTGAAGCAAGGGAGTTAAAACCACACCAGATGCCACTAAATCCTACACGCTGGCACTTTAAAAGAACAGAAAGAACAGACTTTGTTGGATTTACACAGAAGCTACTTAAAAACAGGCAGAAGACAGATTAACAGTAACAGTGGGAAGACAAAGAGAGATGTCCATTCGAGAAGAAGAGCGATAACTCGGAGAGATAAAGCGACAGAGAACACCTCACCTGTTTGTTCATGAATATGTAGATGAAAGGGTTGATGACGGTGGAGAACTTGGCCAGCAGTGATGGCGTGATGCTGGCCTCCGGGGTCAGAAAGTCATGGGGGCCAAAGGTCGCGAGCAGAGCTACCACTCCATAAGGCAGCCAGCAGACCAGATAGCACACCACCATTGTGACAACCATCACCAGCACCCTCTGCTCTCTGCGGCGGGTCACCACTGAACTCACACTGCTGACCTGGAAGAGGAAAGAACACTTAATTTGTGCATCTCTTCTCTAACTTCTGCTGATTTAAAGAGTGTTTGTATCATGTCTGTGTGTTAAGATTTGACTGAATTAAGGCTCTGAAAAACAAAGGCTGTTATGTTGCCTGTACAACAAACCGCCACTACAGCTGGAAAAAAACCAAACGGCAGTCTTCAAAATGTCAGTGTGAAGACTTATCAATAAAGTCAATGGCAGAAGACTTCCTGCTGTGGGTGCAGATGGACATGAATCACACTCCATCCCACCCTGTGGTTCTTCAAACATGCTGCTGGAAGGGAGACACTGCAGTCTGCTGTCTTGCACTGCAGTAAAACTGATTTGCAAAAAAAAAGGCTTGTTATCGCCTGAGTGAGAGCAGACACACATTCAATCAATACATGATTCCATAAATGAATAGGTAGATACGCCCCAAAATAACAACAACTGAATCTATTACATTTTTAATTTCCAGGAGCTGCAAATGCTCAAGTGACATTTAAACCCAAACAATCACACCCTCTACTGCCAGCATAAATATTGCATAGGGAAACTGTTAAATATTTAAAACATAGGGGGGATATAATTTAAAGATAGGATCAGATACGAGAGTGAGAGAGAGGTAGAATGAAAAAGATTCAGAGAGTGGTTTTGGGCTATGCAGTTTTGTTTAAGTTAATAATTTGGACTCATGCATGAGTGGAAAACTCTGTGTTACAAGAAGAGACATACCCAGCGCCACTGGTGCCAATGCTCTTCTGAGGAAAGTAGCTACTGGCTGCTCAAACAGTTACCAAATATCACGTGCAGTTCAGCTCATTCGCATGCAAAATGTAATATAAAGCAGTGAATCTCTATGTGAATTAGTAATAACCCCTGAGATGAAGACACAAATTTGCCAAAAAAACGTCTACCAGTTCAAGTTAAGACATACCTCTCACACTGACCTTTGTCTTTCTCTTTCTTATTAACTTAATATATTTTCCTAAAAGCTATTGTCGCTATCTGTTTCTCAAATAAATGGTGGTTTTGATGATGGTTTCAATACAACTTAGAAAAGGTTTGTTAAATGGTAGTGCAGCAAACTCTCATTTGAGGTCAATTCAAGGATGTTCTTATAACCAAGAACTGATAGATGGTTGATATCAAGTAATATATCACCAGACTAGATTGTCAGAAAGTCTAATTTATTTCCAAACAAGTAAACATCAGTGTGGAAAGCAGTCATTTGTCATTTTGATTGGTTGCCAAACTCCAATAAGGCGGGTCTTATCTAATATTAGCCAGTCAGTGGGTAGATGCCGGGGGAGCGAGAGAGGACAGTGAATGACAACCCTCATCCCTGAAGTATTTTGGTGTAGTTTCACTTTATTTGCATTTATTTCTTAACCTTAAATGAACTGAACCCGACACTGAGCTCAGTGCACAGTTGGTAGCAAAGTAAGCTGGGCCAGCCTAACTATGTGGAGGATTCAAATCGAGCCTGCTGGGGTTTCAGATAAGACCTGCATCTTTTCTTGCTGGTGGCAGACATTTATTTTACCAGTATTGCCTGTGCAATGACACTATCACACTAGCATGAAATTGAATATATGAATATGAATTTCAGGAATGAAAAAGACTGCTATTTTGCATCTCACTCTCAAGTCTGAGATGTCTGAGCATTCGTACCAAGAGCAGATTTTCCAGTCTCTGCTTGCCTCCAATATATTTATAGGTCATCGGGGGTCATTGGCAATTGATAAACAACTGAATAAGTTGTTTAGGTTTGAGGAATTGTTAGTATTACCACAAGATATTAATGTAACAAAATGCTGTGA